ATATGAAATATGAGGATGTTGGAGTTTTGGGGGATGTTGTCAATGAGAATAGTCAGGTGCTTGAGTTGATGTAGTGAAAACATCCAATCAGAACACGACGCTGAATATCAGGTGAGGAGGTGGTCGTACAAAGAGAATATGATGGAGAAACTATTCCCCGAAATTCTGGCGCCCAAGAACAAAAAGCAAAATGCACGACATTCAACTTTGCTCAAATGACGTGCATTAGTCCAAATCACGTCTTCTCAAGCCCGATGCTTATAATGACGACAGCACTGAACACTAAAATTTGGTCTATTGATCAAATGGCCTTTAAGGCCTTCTATCGAAACGCACCATCTCTATGTTTCTATGACTGCCCGGAAATAGCGACTAAAGCAGAGCGCGTTAGGTATTCATAGAAGAGGATTGTTTCGGTATTCAGGCACAACGACGCTGTTGCCCTTTTGTGCGTCCTTTTCTTCTTTGTCTAGCTCGTGTTGGTTGTCTTCGGCTTCTGCTAGGAATTTTTCGGCTTCGAGAGCTGCTATGCATCCGGAGCCTGCAGAACTGTTAGTATTGATCTCTGGTAGTGGGATAGGTAGACCATACCTGCAGAAGTGATAGCCTGTCTATATCTCTTATCCTGCACATCGCCCGCCGCGAAAACGCCCTCGATATTGGTGTAACTCGTTCCGGCCTTCGTGACAATATACCCTTCCTCATCCGTATCAATCTGGCCCTTGAAGAGAGCAGTTGCAGGATCATGTCCCACAGCATAGAACAGTCCATTCGCCTCCATAGTCTCCTCCTCCCCAGTCTTCACATTCTTAATAACCATCTGGCTCATCAAACCCTTATCATTCCCCTTAATCTCCAGCCCAACAGTATTAAACTTCACTGTAACCTTCTTGTTCGCCAATAGCCTGTTCGCCATCGTCTTCGACGCCCTTAGAACATCTCTTCGCACCAAAACCGTAACATGCGACCCGTACTTTGTCAAGAACATAGCTTCCTCAGCAGCAGAATCGCCTCCACCGATAACAACCAATGGTTTATTTCTGAAGATGGGTACAGCGCCATCGCAGACTGCGCAAGCCGAGATACCATTCTGCCAGTATGTTTCTTCGCCTGTGAGACCTAATCTTCGAGCTGAGGCACCGGTCGCGATGATGATTGTGTCGGCGGTGTTTGGTTCGGCGTCTTCTGCGTATTCGGCCCAGTATTTGAAGGGGCGCTTTGAGAGGTCGACTTTGGCAACGGTTTCGGTGATGATTTCTGTGCCGAATTTTTCGGATTGTTTGCGCATTGCGTCCTGTAAATACACTGTCAGCCTTCATTCTTGGGTACTTACGAGAGGGGCTCACCATTAACTCAGCACCACCAATTCCATCAGGAAAGCCAGGGTAATTCTCCACATCCGTAGTCGTCGTTAATTGACCACCAGCAGCAATGCCATTTGCAAGGAAACCCTCATACAAGACCGCTACCTCCAATCAGCTCTTCTCCTAACATCTCCAAACAACAGTGTACTCACGCTTCAACTCAGCTCTAGCAAGATAGACTGCCGCGGTATGCGCCGCAGGCCCAGAGCCGATAATAACGACCTTACTATGCATTCTCCTCTCTGTCCTCCTGTTCAGGAGACTCGCCGCACCGCTGATACCGTTCGTCTGCGTTCCCTTAGGTTTCTGTTGCAGACTGGCCGCAGCAGCAATGCTCAAGCCAGAGAAACCTGAGCGTAAAGTTCTTTTAAGGGCGGAAGAAAACAGTTTGGCTGCTTCCCTAGTTCCTCGCAAATTTGCTTTTTAGTGAATTATGGGGAGAGGAGAGGTATCTGTAGTCGCGGCGGGTGAATTGGAGAGTGAGTTGTTATTTGTGTGTGTGTCGAGAAGGGAAGGTTCGTGAAGGGATTTGGGTGTTGATTTCTAAGGGTTGTGGTGGGAGGATTTTCGAGTCGCGTTCCTGCAGTGCCCCGCCAAATTTTGGCGGTTGATTGAAATCCCGAGGCGGGCCAGAACACCGGCGATATTGCTATGTAAGCAGGTAATCAATCTGTACAACGGTCCAATTCGAATAGAACCGGGTAATTGTACTCGTTACTCGTTCAAGGAGGTTCTTGATTCCATAATTATAAAATGGAACTGCCTCGGTAGTCTTTTCCTCTAAAATTGCTATCCTAAGCCACGAGAGATCACATGAAAGAATAATCGGGAAAGGCATGATGGAATCATTCACAAGACGCTTGATTATGTCTACCCGTCTGAACGCCTTTGCGCACCTAGCACCTAGCACCTGCCACCGAGCACAAAATGATATCTACCTGAATCAAACGTTCTTACGCGATCGGAGCTCCTAGGTCCTCCATCTCCTTCACGTATCGCTCCCAAATCTCAATCGTCTGCCCATAGAACTCCACATGCGCATCGGCTAATGAACCAAATTGCGTCTTGAACTCAAGACGCTTGATTCTCTCGAACTCTGCTACTTCTCTCACAACTTCCTCATCAAAAGCTTCTGTTGTCTTTTTCGCCTCTTCCACTTCTCTCGTCAGCTCTTCTATCCTGATCTCAAGTTTGCGGAGTCGTTCGCGGCGTGATTGCTCGTGGTCAACGCCTCGTACATCCTCGATCTTACTTCGTATGAATCCCGCAGTCCCAGTGAGAGATCCACCCGGCGACGCCAGAGTATCTCTGTCCGATGTCGACTTTGTGAGATACTCCGTAAGCTGTTCGAAATCCAGCTGCTTTTGTTCTCGGGCCTTCAGTAAATTCTTGAGTGCCGTACTATACGCCTGCATATCCCGTAAACTTCCCAGGTAGTCCTGATCGGTGTGCTCTTTCAACGTCTTCATTCCAGCAGATGTATCTTCCACACTTGCCGAGAAAGCGTGCACAGACTGTTCAACTCCAGGCTCTAGTGTAATGAGTTTTTGGAATTGTTCAGCCAAATCTTTGTAGTCCGTTTCCAGATCTCCTTCTCGACGAGCCACTCGTGCCACGATCTTCTCCACATGCCCTAGATCTTCATCCAGCTTATCCGACTTCTCTCTAACCTCGATGAATCGCTTATCGGGTTTATGTACCTTCGTGAAAGCATTGATAAAGGTATCAGTGAAGTTGTCGAATACTCCAGAAGATCCCTGCTCAGACGCAGATGAGCCCCGTTGCGGTCTGCTCTTCATTGTTGCATTCCAGTCAGTGCTCTCGAGGAAGATGATTAGAAGGGCGCTTCTCCGAAGAGTCGGGTGTAGTGCCAATCGAGCAAGGAATCGGTGGAGGGAGTTTGCGCGTCGAGATGTAAAATCTGGTCCAAATCGGTCCCCTCGTACATACTCCATCTTGTGCTTATCTGGAAGAGGCGGAACTGCGGAGGCTGGGTAATCTTTACATAGCGATTTGTATAGAAAGACGAAGTCTGTAAATCTCCGTCTGACTGTAGTTGTGGGTTTCTGGAATGAGGGGAAGGTAGTCTGCAGCTGTCAGTTGAAGCTCTCAAATTCGTAGAGCTGACGAACATTTGTGGTAACCAAGTATGAGACGTAGGCATCTTTGGAACCATCGTTCTCTTTCAAAGGGGATGTGACTGTGCATTCTAACACTCCTTCTCCAACTCCTGCTAAATCCAGCGAGTCCGCATTGTGCCCAAGTGGCCCACTACCACGTCTTCTGCCATTTGTAGCTCCTGAAGAGGCACTCTCGACATCTGCGCCTGGGCTCGCTACCGGAATTGAAGGCCTTCCGGCGGCATGGTCGCTCTGCCATGAGACGTTCGCGAAATCGTCGTGATCTTGGTCCATTGCCAAGTGAATCGCGGGGCAATCGGAATATGGGGATGCGCAGCTGCGCTGGAGGTTGTGGATTGGGGACCTAAGTTGTAGGATGTTCTTTGTTGGGTGGTTTAGTGTTTCGTATTCTGAAGGAGTTCCCGCAGCGAGCAAAAGATATGAGCTGTTGAGTTGGATTGAGGCTCACTGGCGCAAAACGATCGTCATCGGTCCAGGCAGCTGTGAATCCCCACTAGCAGCCGTGTCACGGGGTGCGGAACTGCGGATGTGCCTCGCATCAAAAAACGCCAGCCAGAGTTGAAAGGGCAATAACAAACCTGAATTGATTTCCACTTTCAAACTTAACAATTATGCAGCGTAGTCGTCCACGGATTAGGTTGTTTTTAGCAAGTTGCATCACTTTTAATCACGAGGCCTCAAGAGACATTGTGTTAAGATCAAGGAAGGTCTTGCTTCAGTGGCCCTGAAGTTCGGCGTTTTTTTTTCGTGGTACCTGCAACTTTTTGGGTTTGGTTCTCTACAGAGGAGATAACATGGAAACTACCAAGTAATGGTAAACTCAAACTAAAGAGATAATGGCTTTTGTCGCAGAATATATAGCTGTTTAGATTCTAATGCAAACCAGCGATTCATCCTCACATACAACACTGGGGAGATAGATTGTAGCCTCCTCTCTCCTCATTACAACTCACCTAGCTAGTTTGTAACATTGTTTAGAGATATCTCTGGATTTAATAGTGGCAGACCTCGGACACTTGCTTCTGAAACGTCCTAGGGGCACATAAAAAAAAAACAAAAAAAAAAGAATTACTAAGGTAGCAGTAGTGGTAACCAAAAAATAATTTGAGACGGCCTACGCGCAAGGGGGTGGTCGTGTGTGGTCAGGTAAAAAGGGGAACCCACAGCCTCACTTCGCTGAGCATAAACTTGCTTCACCTTTTTGCTCCTCAAGATCTCGAACTTTCATTTACGATGCGTGACTACGTTACCTACTTTTCTCAATTACTGACTACTTTAATACCACTTCGCATTACTTTACGATTCACAAGCTATAGAAAATACTTCGGCTTTCTGGTTGACCAAAACTCCAGCAGGGTGTAGATTCGATTTCTGTCCGGGGTTCACGTAATGTTCATGATATATTTAGTTAACCAATTTCAGGCATCAAACAGTGCAAACTTCTTTAACGCCAGTCATCTAATTGGCCTAATTCTAACGTTTGCCTGAATACCAAGGCCTGATAGTTCAGTGGTAGAATTCTTGCTTTGGGCCCCCAATCTCAATTGTAAGAGGTCTCCGGTTCGATCCCGGATTAGGCCCCAAACATCTTTTTATTTTTTTTTGGTTTTTCGTTTATGAGGGTTGGTCATTTTTTTAAGGCTCCTCTCTCTATGCCAATACATCCGCTTGCGCTGATGCGAAACCAAACTTCAGAATTTGCGTTCCTGTTCACTGAAACAATTCCCTGTTAACTTCTCAGCAGCCCCGCCAAGCGTTTTGACGCAACTCCTTTTCCCAAATAGCGACAATTCTGGGACATCATTGGCAATGAGTTGTCAAGTGTTGTATGGTAATTGACGGCGAAGGCAAATCAACATATCAGAAAGAAAAACAGGGTTGTACGACTGCAAGCGGATGACTAAGCTGCCAACCACCTCTAGCACCTCAATAATCTGCTTAGATCTTGGATGGCAACCTGGAAGAAGGCGGTTTTTCATCGCTCTTCCCAACAATACCGCTTCGTAATCTGGTTCTAGCTGGATTTGACTAGCCTTGTAGTAATTATGCGTCTCATCAACGCCCAAACACTTGAGCTCGAAGAGTTCTTTGGAGATCAGATCCCTGAGTACGCCATCCTCTCCCACACCTGGGGACCGCCGAAAGACGAAGTCAGCTTCCAGGACATGACCTCCAAGAATTTTGAACATAAAGCAGGCATTCGGAAAATTCGATTTCTGTGTCAACAGGCCTTGCAAGACGACCTCGTGTGGACTTGGTGCGATACCTGCTGCATCAATAAAGACAGCAGCGCTGAGCTCTCCGAGGCCATTAACTCCATGTTTCAGTGGTACCAGGACGCAAAGATCTGCTACGCATATCTTTCGGACGTAGACGCCTCTGCCAACCTTGATGCCACCACCTCTTCGAGATTCTCGGTTCCTCCGGAATTTTCAATCAGCCGATGGTTCAGCAGAGGTTGGACATTGCAAGAGCTCCTCGCTCCAGAAGAAGTCATCTTCTTTGCAAGAGATTGGATTTGCATTGGTAGAAAAAAAGAACTTTTCTGGCTCATTCGTAGAATTACGGGAATCCACAGAGGCGCTCTGGAGTGGCCTTGGACAATATCCAGCTACAGCGTTGCAACTCGAATATCCTGGGCAGCTCGCAGGAAGACAACGCGCACCGAGGATAGAGCGTATAGTCTTCTTGGAATACTCGGTGTCCATATGCCGCTGCTATACGGCGAAGCGCGAAATGCCTTCAAGAGACTACAAACAGAGCTGATCAAAATTTCGGATGACGAGTCATTGTTTGCGCATTCGGGCCCCAACATTTTGGCGGATATGCCGGACGCCTTCATTGTTGAATCAGAGCGATATACATTGTCACGATCAAATCAGCACAAACCTTATTCCATCACAAACATGGGGCTTAGCATCGAGATCCCAATCGTTTTTCTCCCGAAACTAGATGGATCCCCTTCAGCTAAGTGTCGGGGTATCTTGAATTGTCATGATGGGCAAGACTACAAGCATTTCCTTTCGATTCCTTTGCAAGAGACTTCATTAAAAGGCGTTTTGATACGTTCTCCCGGGCCCGTCGAGCCACTTCAAGAATCCTTGGTCCAACAAGCGAAGAGAACCTCCGTCATGATCAAATTTACTCCTCCCGAAATATCAAGTATCACCTACTTGCCGGAGCTTCGTGGTTCTTTGATCCGGGAATACAAGTCTTTAGCACATGTCTGCACCTCTTCTGTTCTATGGCAATTCAGAGAAAATCGGGTGACGCTTCAGCTTAATCCGAAGAGGGAGGCCGAGTTTGAAATGGTGGTTCATGTGTTTAGCTGGAAATCAGCCGAAGGATCTTTTGTGGTGACCATCATCTTTGAACATTCTGGAGCTGATGCTGGACTCTTGATATATACCGGGGAGGAACACGATGCCCTTGGACTTGAGGTATCTGACATGCTGTTCGCTGCATGGGAGGATAAAGGCAAGCCGGCTAAAGAGGAGATTCAAATTACGGGCAAAAATGGCGAAGTGAGGAAGATAGAGGCAATGATAGCGCTGGAACCACGCTTGAATCAGGCTGTTTGGGTGTTGTCGTTAGAGGTGACAGACGTATCACCAAATCTCATTTCGCCCTCGATGATAGTTCCCATCCACAACCAGCCAGGCTCGCACCCCACCACTTCTATACCAGAATTGCCTTTTCATTCCCTACAAACTAAGCAACATCCGAGAAGTTGCAGCTGAGTAGAGTCTAGAAGGCTGGTTAGACGTCGATCGGGTTCGAATTCGATAGCTTGCTGCCTACCGTACCTTCGATAATTGTCAAGATACATTGACCTTTCAATTTCTTCTTTTAAATGGGTTGTCCGAATACCAATCCTTGGGTTACGGTCTTGTGGACTGGTGCTTGCTGTTCGGAGTCATTTATCCAAACGGTGTCTGCTTTTGCTGCTTTTAAGAATACTGTTGTCCTTGAGACGCCTACATTCTGCTAAGTGGTTCTCTTTCCCTTTTCCTCATTTGCTGCTTCTTGTCCTTTTTTCTTCCTTAGTTATAACTATTATAATACATTTCTAAGTACTTTTACTGGCACTCTTGTTATCCTAGCTTATCCGAGCTTAGCTTAGCTCTCCTACGCTTCTCTAAGCTTCTCTGGATCTAAATTTAGTTAGCTTAGCCTAGCTTCTCTTGGTGTTTAGGTCCTTTAATCTTCTCTTAACCATTTTAGGATGAGGTTAGCTTCACTAGCAGTTTTAGTTTTTCGGTAAATGGAGATGCATATTATGAATTGTATAGCCAGTATGTAGCTAAAAGCTTGGTATGGTATCTCCCGGACTGCCTGGCCATTCCTGGATTATTAACCACCACTCCGACAGACCCATCCTGATCAGAAAGAATCCCTCTTAGTGTAGATAGTATAGCAACAAACATATCTCGTGCAGAAGAGACCTCTACCAGATCGTGGGATTTTGAACTCTCTGACTCGGTATATTCGGGCATAGATTTGCGTTGTTCGAGTACTTTTATTTGCCTAGCTCCTTCAAAATATCCTCCGCTTGCGCAAAAGCGAGTTCTTTCATTGTCTCTTCCCAGAGGAGCTCACTGATCTGATCACCCTTGACCCTATAAATCAAAGGTGCTTTACTTCATAGTATCCTAATTAGCAATCGTGCTCGTGAACTCCGGAAGAAACCACCTACGGCTGTATTTTACAGTCCTCTAAGTATTGACCATGTGAATTAGGGCCATGACTGACAGCAGCGTCGGTGATTGTGCGAGCTCCAACCGAACTCGAACGCCCAAGGATGCGTTTGATCCAACTTGCGATGATTACCCCAATATGTCGCCCCGGGAGGGTTCCAAGACCCGTTCCATAACACAAACATGGGTTGGGCATGGTTATGGTAACAATCGAGGAAGGAACCTTTTTCGTCAACTCGTTTATGAAGAGTTGGCCGAGTAACTTGGAGGTTGAATAGCGATCCGGAAGGTTGAAACTCTCAGGTTTGTCCAACGTAGGTAGCAAAGGCGTGCTATCTTGCTCCTTGAATTTGGCCCAGGACGCCATGTCTGATTGTACCCACACCATTCGACTCGGCTCGTTTGTGTCTTTAAATTTAAGAATTGGAAGAAGCGGGATCGTAAGCAGAGCTGTTGATAAGAAATTACCCTGGATTGTTTCCTCGTGGCCCGCCATGACGCCAGCATTGAAGACAACAATATCCAGGCGCTTCAGCGTCTTTGCGCGTTCTGCAAATGCGACAACCGAATCGTAGGACAACATATCTTACTTCCATATCTCGGTAGCGCCATCTTCGAGATGACGACCTGACGATAGGTTTGTGCTGGCCGCTTGGCCTTTCGACTCATCACGCACCGCGATGATGAGCTTGCTGAGCCCTAGGTCCAACAGTTGACACGCGCATTCAAGACCGATGCCAGTATTGGATCCAGTAACAATAGCGATTTTGCCTTTGAGGTCTGTCGTGTGGCAAGGTAGAAGTCAAAACGAGTTGACGGTAGAAGAATTGATATACACTTGCTCTCTTTTCGGCATCGAGTGTGATATTGGGGGTTTGAGCAGGCATACCAGCCAAGTGGATTGAGTAATGGTGAGATCTACTGACAATTGGAGGAACTTTAGAAGTAGCTGACGCTTGGTGAATCAGTTGGCCTTTCAAACCCCAATCTTCGTGGTGGTCTTGGATCTGGCTCCTAATTAGAAACGCTTCTCATTGAATTGATGCTTTGGGAGTTGGTAATATTCGCTCTGAATCTTGGGTTTCAGCCTAAATGACCAAGCTAGAAGAGCAGCGACAGTTCTCCGCAGAAAAGAATTCCTTCAAGGGAGCTACGAAGTAATGCTGGCGGCCGAGGATGCCCAATCCTGCGAATGGGATGCGGTAAAATGAAGTTGACCTTGTTGGACCAGGTTACGAGGTAAACCACTCTTCTGAAGTAGATAAGAATGCACCAAATGAACACAACGGGGAACATGGAGTATAAGGCTCGCGGGAGGCAAAATCAAGCGACGGCAAATCAATATGCTATCAGAGAATGCGCCAACTTCATTGCAACCGTATTCAGTCGGAAGGTAGTTATCTTCCTTCCATGTCATGTTATTTACTAGCAAAGCTGCAACATTTACGTAGAAGCAACTTCTGTTTTCCGGACCAGTCAAGCACTAGGTATCAACAATTCAGGGCGGTTCTCCTTTACATGGTTCCCTACATAAATCTGACAGGTCGCTCTCCAGCTTCTACTCACCGCGACCGCGTACCCCATGGGGTGAGGGAGAGGGAAGGTAGGATGTGCATCGTGAGCAATATATACACGGCCTTGGTCTTTGTTGTGCCCTTTCATGAGGGTCCATCATAGGAAGGAAGTATTGCAGCATCGTCATGGATATCTGCGAGTATCCCTTTGTTGTTGGTGGGGGTAAGTTGCTAAGGATCTAACCGTGCTGCAGTACTTGTATTGCAACACTCTAACTAACCACCCTCCAACGCTGACAGGTCCTCTCAGGAAGTGGTATTGGCGCAGCTACGGCCGTGGGCGCACGCGGCATCATCGTTGCGGCTGCCA